TTTAATTGACAATTGAGCCATTTAATTAACACATTGCGCAAGGCGATGCTCACGTTTCCTGCCAATCGGATTTGTTTACAGTGAAAAGAAGGTTGGGTCAACTTCCTCATGTTTTCTCACGCGAATATGACCCTTTTTGGCTGATTATACTTGAAAGTGGTTGTTTTAGAGGTGAGTGAGATGACTTGAGACTCGTTTGATGTAGGGTATTAGGGAAATTTGAGGAAATAAGGCCGAGTTAAGGGTTAGAAAGGGCGATTTTCCTTCCCGATTTTGGACTATTGGGTGTGGAGAGGCGGGGTCCTGTTTGACATTTCGGAGGTTTTCTTACCCTTTTGGGCTTTTTCACATGTTTTATTTCCTTCCGCCAGTTTTCGTAGTGTTTATAGAAGGAGTAGGTTGCGTTGGGGATCGGTATAAACTCCCAGATGAATGGGGAACCTACGAGGAACTTAAAGTTGGATTGAAGTTTCAAGAGTTGTGAGTCATTCTCGGGTCATTTAACATTGCAAATGATACCGTTTTATTTAATTTCATGATAGCCATGTGCTTTAATTGTAAGAGATAAATTTAACAGCCTTCTATTCGGAAATGGTTAAAAGAATTGGTGCTAATGAGAAGGAAAACTTGGCGAGAATCACTCACATCATCAAATTTAACAATCACTATTGCCTCATTTGAAAATAAATCGGGAAGTAAAAGAACCATTACCTTTAACTGATTGGTTATTAGAGCTGTAGTTGGTAAAGTAGTTTTGAAATACTATAAATCAGAATGAAGAAGTAGAGTAATCTGATTTAAATAGCCTCAGAAATTTAGCATTTTTTGTAATAGAATAGATATTGCTTTTATAGACATAGCAATTTTATATTCAGGGCATGTTTTGTAGTTTTAATGATATGAAATATTATTATGATATATGGTAGCTAATTAGGTAATTCAATATGAAAAGAAAAGATATATAATGAATATCTATACATAGTAATAATGTATGATTGCTGTAGGTATTATTGTTGTTATAGTGTCATAATTATTATTATCATTAATATTGATAATGATAATGATAATTGAAAATGATAATAGTAATTTTCTAGAAGTAATCTGTGCTATAAAATCCATAGAAATTGTTATCAATGGATTCCTCATGACATATACAGTGGTATGCATTTATAGTGGTTTTAGCCAGTATTAGGGAAGAGAAATGAGAATACTAGGCTTGATATGTGGGGAGGGCATGAGGTGTGATCAGGGAATAGCATGCTTAGATTATACTGTATATAAGTATTTTTGCCATATAACCCCCTAAAGACTCTCTAAACCCCTGCCCTCTAATGCAAAATCTCTACATCATCTAACCAACAATTTGGATCCCGGACAGGTCCGAGTGAATGACATCACGATCCGCTAGGTAACTATCCCTTGCCATGCGCTCAGTCTTGAGGTATTGTGCAAGTTATGGGAGTTTTCCAACATTCGTATTGTGCTTGTATATTATTTTTTTGACAATTTATGTTACATTGATTTACTAAACATCAATTGGAGTCCATTGATACCAAGTTTGATGTTTTTTTACATTTGGACCTCTTCTAGAAAGTTGTTATGATATAATTGTTCATATTGTGAAAATCATGATTGTTGATGTCCTTTTTTATACCCTTATATTATAAAACAGTAAACGAATCTGTATTTACATATTAATGCTATGATCAAAAACCATGATGTTGTCACTGTTGGTATCATCATTAATATTGTTACTGTTGTTACCTTTTGTTACTATAATTATTATTGTTATTATTATTTATTATTATTATTATTATTATTATTATTATTATGATTGTTGTTAATTTCATTTTCATTGTCATCATCATCATCATTATCAATCTATTATTATTATTGATATTATTATTGTTATTATTATTATTATTATTATTATTATTATTATTATTATTATTATTATTATTATTACTTACTGTTATTGTTACTACCTTATTTCTATTATTGTTATTATTTTCATATTATTGTCATTATTATTATTATTATTATCACTTACTGTTATTGTTATTATTTTTGTATTATTGTCATTATTATTAGTATTATTATTATGATATTATATTAGTATAGATGTTATTATTAATATTGCTTCAAGTGTATTTGCATAAAATACAGCCAACAACATTATGTTGTAAACATGCTTGGTGATAGGCGATTCTCTGAATACTGATATAATCATAAGCATTTTATGATATATTAATAGGCACACACACACACACACACACAACACACACACACACACACACACACACACACACACACACACACACACACACACACACACACACACACACACACACACACACACACACACACACACACACACACACACACACACACACACACACACACACACACACACACACACACACACACACACACACACACTCTCTCTCTCTCTCTCTCTCTCTCTCTCTCTCTCTCTCTCTCTCTCTCTCACTCTCACTCTCACTCTCACACTCACACATGTACTCTCACACTCACACGCACACTCTCACAT